AGCCCCTTTTCCGTTTTATGTGTGCAATTTTATTTTGATCATTTTGGTGCTTCTGATAACAAAAATGTGCTCATACTGCTCATTTTTCGGAAATAATAAATGTGTGGACTGGAATAATTAAGTGACTATTATCGGGCTATTGTTTATTAATATGGTAATATTTATTTGGAAATGTTAGAAACCAGCATTGAACCCCTTATTATCGAAGAACTGAATAAATCATAGATATTGATGGCAAAAGGACTCTAGATCAAAATTTAATACATTATTCAGCAAGATGGAGCACCGCCCCATTAATGTTCAGCATGTTGCCTGTCCGTCAATTTCCAGATCAGTAGACTATGGACGCAGTGGTTCAATATGGCCGGCGAGATCTCCCCTTGATTTTTTCCTCTAGGGTCACTTGGAAAACTTTTAGAGAGACCTTTCATTTATGGTAAGATCAAGGAGGGAGGTGCCATTTGAAATTTGAGAGTTGAGGTAGGGGCGCTTAGGGGATACACTATATAGCAGAGCTGGGTACTGCTCGGGAGCGTTTCGCTCGAAAAAGCGCTTGTGTGCGATCCGCTCACGAGCACTTTTCGAAGCGGCCGCTTGGTGCTCGATAGTCGAGCGTTTGCTTAGTGTTCCTCAAGCGCCGCTCGCGAGCGTTTTTCCGTTCCCGAGCGGCTTTTTCCAGGCTAGGCTAGCGGTTTTTTTAGCTTTTTTCCGCTCACAAGCACTTTTCCCAAGCGCTCGAGTACTTTTAGGCTCGCGAGCATTTTTTAAAAAATTAGAGCTGTCGTCGCTCGAGCGATTTTTTAGAAACTTTGACCCAGCTCTGTTATATAGGTATCTTGTTTTTCCGTAAATAGTCATTTTGTGCTTTTCACTGCTGCTAATCATAAATGTTGTGCGCCTTAACAACAAACTAAACATGCGTGACAGGCAGAGCTGGGCAGTATTCGATTTTGTAAATACTTTTTAGTATTCAAATCCTTTAAAGTATTCAAATACTTTGTAATTAAATAGTTTTATGGAAGCAGTATTTGTTTTTGTAACTCAAATACTTTCACAAATATTTAGTATTCAAATACTTCGCAAAGTATTTGGATACTTCGTAAAGTATTCGAATACTTCGCAAAGTATTTGGATACTTCGTAAAGTATTCGAATACTTCGCATAGTATTTGAATATTTAACCTTCCTTTTTTACCAAAAATCGATTACTCCATTTCTCGGGAAAACACTTTTTCTTATTAATTTTGGTGCGTAGAATCCAAAACAATTCGTACTTTTTCGATCAGACTTCTCAATCAAAAGTTATAGACTAGAAACCAATTTCGAAAGAAAATTCAAAGGGCTGTAACTTTTGAACTAGTAGCCCAATCTTGGAACTGTTTGAAATTATGGATTCTACAGGCCACATTCTATAAGAAAATTTTTTTCCGGGTCGATCTGAGACAATTTTTTTTTCGGGCCTCAAAAAAAGGCAGTGTATAACCTTCCTTTTTTACCAAAAATCGACTACACCAAAATTTCTCGGGAAAACACTTTTTCTTATTAATTTTGGTGCGTAGAATCCAAAACAATTCGTACGTTTTCGATTAGACCTCTCAATAAAAAGTTATGGACAAAAAACAAATTTCGAAAAAAAATTCAAAGGGCTGTAACTTTTGATCTAGTAGCCCAATCTTCAAACTGTTTGAAATTATGGACTCTTGATCGATCTCGATCTAGACAATTTTTTTTTCCGGCCTCTAAAAAGGCAGTACTTTTAAGTTATTCAAATATTTGAGAACAATTTAGAAATGTTTAGGGAAAGTTTCCATTGTCACAAAATCAAATATAAAAATCCGATACATCTGAATACCGAACTCGATACTCTACGTAACTTAAAAACAATAGGGACCTTTCTTATATCCTTAAGACCATGTGTACCAATTTTCAAAGCGATGGCACGTTTCTAAACAAACTATCATGCACACGGACAAACGGATCGTCAAAAATGGATCTGTTCCAAAATCGCTAGGATTAATTTCAGAAAGGCGTACGTATCATGTGCACGACATACGATCGCTTTGAAAACTGGTACACGTATTCTTAAGGATATAACTGGTATAAGAAAGGTCCTGGTAGGTACTACCTCCTATATAATAATATTACGCTTTTACTCCCCTTAAATTTGTATATAACAATAGAAATATAAAAAAAGCTAACCCCATACAAAGTATAACTTGATTTTTTAAGTAGTGATAAGACTTTTATCTAGTATACTATTTTAAATTTTTAATGTATTTGAGTGACAAGTATTTGAATACTTTTTACTGTATTCGAATACTTTTCAAAGTAAGCTAATGAAATACTTTTCAAAGTATTCAAATACTTTTTATAGTATTGGAATACCTACCTTTGATGGTATTAGAATACTTTTGAAAGTATTCGAATACATTCTAAAGTATTTAAATACTTATTTTTTAAAGTATTTGAATACTTTTCAATGTATCTGTATCTAGTATTCGCTTGTGCTGGACGTAAAAGTATTTAATATTCATTTGTGTAAAGTATTTACTATTTAGTATTCAAATACTCTTTGAAAGTGTTCTGCCCAGCTCTGGTGACAGGCGACAAAAAACGCGTATATAATGGCGGCCTAAAGGTGTCAATTTTATGTAAGAATTACTAGATTATTTATATTAATATTATATTAATAAAGACCCAAACGCATTAGCTTGGTGTCAACAAATGGCTATGCACCATTTTCATTGGGAAATATGATGCGAAATTTGGAATTTTTTTAGTCAATTTTAAAACATAGCATCAATAAGCAAAACCACAAACACCAGACTACATGGTTTACTTGTAATGAAGGCCAGCAATACCCCCAGATCCAGATACCGAACAAGAAGACATACAGACTCTCATTTACTACATCAAAAATACAAGAATATGAATCAACCACTACATTAAGATCACTGTAAAGTTACCCTTTTGTTAATAAATGAAAGATGCACTAAAGGTAATGAATGTCTTCGTCTTAGACCCTACAGCTGTCATCTAGAAGAAAGTTGGAACAAAATTAATACACCTACTTACACCAAACTGTAGTGTTATTACATAAATAAATACAAATATAATGTACATTTTTATTCTAGCATACTATAGAAAACTGTATAACAAAAAATTGCAAGACATGGCAACAATTTACGCTAATCTACTATTTAGTATTAATATTGGAGTTCAATTTCTTTATAAACAAATCACACAAATTTTATCATTACACATGATAGGATATTTAAATTTTAAATGTTGGTAAATAACGTCAGTGACCAGCTACCAATTTTTCAATAACAAAATTGACAGGCAAAACGTTCCTAAGGCCCATCGAAATTGACAACAAACCTTGTTATCTAATTACAATATTTATACTGAAGTGACAGATAGAGACTCATCTTACATACAAGGCTGCTTATTAGAAATATAGGGTGGGCCAGTGTGTGGGTGGAAGATTGTGGTTTTATTATTACACATATTTAAAATTCATTGTCGTGGCATGGTAAAGGGCGAGAACAATAAAATATTTTCAATGAAATTGCAATTGTTGTACAGGATGATTTATATCAAAGTTGCATTTTTTTAAATTGACCAAGGATTCGAAATATGCAATAATATACGGGAGTTCTATTTAAAAAATACCACTTTGATATAAATCGCCCTGTTAAACAAGTTGCAATTTCGTTGAAAATATTTTTAAGTTGTAGCCTTAAGAGTCCCTTACCATGCCCAGACAAATTTCCACGCACACACTAATGGCCCACCCTGTTAATTAAGTAGTATATGAAAAGCTCATAGTATATTATTTATCACATTTTGAAATTCATGTTCCAAAAGTAAAATGAACACATGTCTATTATAAATTAAGGCCCACCAAAAGGCATGCTTAATAATGAACGGATTTGGTTTCATTTTTCGTTAATGTTAAGGCAAATTTTATAAATGGATTGTTATTCGTTCAGGTTAGTAGTGATTTAGACCTACACAATAGCAAACTAAATATCGGTAACAAGCGACATGGAAAATATGTAACATCAACTTGCTAACTTTTAAAAATATATACAGGTATCGAGATCAACTTCCATAAACCTATTTGTAAATTACACATAAAGGTCGCGGTTAAAAATTGTTACGTCATTTTCAACAGCCTATTTTAATTCTAAGTGAATTCAAAAATATCTATATCTATAATTCCTTACGCTTAATAAAATAATGCACAATTTAATCACAAACATAAAAGCAAAAAACCAACTGATCATTTGTAGAACAAGACTTATTCAATGAAGCAGTCCATAAACATCAGTTGATTTTTTTTCTTTAAGGCAATTTCCTTAACGCACAAAGATATAAATACACATACTTTTTACACTAATTCTAACTTTCACACGTTTCGGTAACAATTTTAACATAAAAAGTAAAAATTTTTCAACATGACAAAAACAATGTTGATCCATTTGGTGCTTCGAATAATGTTGCCACTATTCGTATAGACAGTATAAAAACAATGCACTCTTCATGGAACAATTAAATTAAGGTCAAAAGGCCTTCAAGTAGATTGCATAAACCCGCAAACTGACGATTTATTAATAACAAAAGTTTAATTGCTGCAGTACAAAATAAAGCATCTTAATCTGCCCCCCCCCCCCTTCGCTCTGTCATTAGAAGCAGTTAACTATTTCTGGCCATAAATTTTGATGATGTGATCAAAGTACACCCAGTATATTTTCATTCTACTCAAATAAGAATCTTTTAATTTGAGTAGTATATTAGAAATTTTGTTTTTAGAAGTTGTAAAATTTATACAGGGTATCTTTTCAAAATGTGGCCGATGTGTGTAATGCTTAAAAATAAATATTGCATTTAGTAACATAAAAAAACTTTATCCAAGTTAATAAAAGTAATAACACAAATTCTCGACAAATAAAATATTTTATGTCTTCGATTAATTGCAAATTAAGTAGGCTTATGTTCTGTGTATTTACGAAACAGAACTGATTGCATTATGCGGTGCTCCCATTTGAGTTAAAACTTTGTCCAGCCACTGCAAAGGTCCATGTAAATGTACCTCAATCCAACATGGCGTGCTGGTGACGTCCTGCCGATGGTACTCGGCACCCCACCCCTTAACGAAACTCATACGAATCGTGCACATCTTTGTCAATTCGTAAACCGCCTCGAAACCGTGATTGACACATTGAGAGAGTAACTGCGCGAATTCGGCGTTATTGAAAATTCTCAGAGAACAACCGGCGGGTATTTTACAAACCGTCGACGGATGAAAGCCGTGATGGTGGTTGCAATTTCGCGACTGTACAAATATGGCCGAGTCCGATAGGCATTCCGCGTATACCTCGCCATTAACGTAATACAGATGCACTCCCTTCCCGATATGTCGCCGAGTATTTTCTATTGTAGAATTCCTGTTAACGTTGCTTAACTGCCCTAAACAAAACCGATCACTATTGTTACTAGGGTTTGTGAAACCGTCGACGATCACTGACGTACTGTGACAGTGGAAAACTTCACCGACTCGACAATTCAATTCGTAATACGCTATCGACGCCCAAAATGGTTGCTCTTGGTATGCCACCGACTGTACATCGTTTAGCGACGACTGTGGAGACTCCGCGTGCTGGCTGTTGTTGTTACCATTTGCGTTACCTGCAATGTTTTGTTATCACTATCATTATCATACTAGTGATGGAGCATTCTCAAAATATTCTAGTGATGGGAATATTCTGAGAATGTTCTGCAAATATTCTTATATATCGTATTCAAATTTTTGAAGTGCCTTGTTTCCACCATTAGCCATTGATTGGTATCGGTTGCCTTAGTTACCATGGATACAATAAACAAAATAAAATCTTCATGAATCCATGGCCTGCTATTTAAAAACAGTACAAAAATAAGGTTTTCATTACATACATTAATGTAATCAGGAAAAATCAATTGACGTTAATATATACAGGGTGTTGCATTGAAAAATACCAACATTGGGTCAAATCTCAGCAACTGTGATCCAAATTTTTTGGGGTCACACTATACACATTTAAAAATCAGTGTATGCATTAATTGGCTACATCTCAGTTACCTTTGAGAATTGAGCACATGTTTTTTTTGTGTAAAAGACGATATAGGGCGGGATTTCAAATATTATTTCATTATTTTTTTCTGGTGGTTCCTCACTAAGTTGATTTCTTTTTAAAAAAAAGCAAAAGCGCGGCAAAAATTTTTATTTCCACAACTAATTAGCAGCAAAAAAAAAGTGCCATATTACTAATATTATCGCCATTTCATTTTTTTACCGTATCTTGAATTGAACCAAATAGGTACTTTAGATTCTGAAATATTGAACACCCTGTATTTTTGTTATTTATTTCGATACAAAATGACATTCTGAGTACAATGATACCCCACTTGCCACTTTTTGAAAGATTGTCAATTTTTTACCTTGAACCATTTAAAACGATTTAAAGCGTCAAAATATTCGTACAAAAATCCTCTTTTTTAAGAATTGAGTGAAAGTAAAAATTATGTTTTCAGAAACTTTAAAATTGTCTGTTATGGTGTGTACACGCAAAAACACAAAAAAGTAGTTTTCATACTTTACTTGACCACGAATCAACCACTATAAATGGCCCAAAGCACTCTAGATTGAAGAATAAAAGATGCAAAAAATTGACCATCTGGCAAAAGTGGGGTGTAATTATACTCAAAATGTCATTTTGTATCGAAATTAACAAAAAAATACTGGATGTCTCATTTAATAATCGAAAATTAAGCTACAGAAAAAGGCAAATGCACCCAGTATATGGGAGCGTTAATCTGGATCTGCGTTCATTTGTCATTGTTTAAATTTTTCTGGCATTTTGGTGTACACATTTTACTAACGAAACGTTCCTCAAGTTGCCGACTTGATTTCGGAGTTCAAATGAGAAATCAAACCTTGTAAGTGGACAAACCCCCTTCAAAATGTTATTAATTGTTCATATTACCTTCGTCGGTTGGGCTATATGCCGGCGGCGGAGTTTCAGCTAAATTGGCGTACGGAGACTGAGGATTGGAGGAGGTCACGCTACCCGGACTTCCCACACTCGACAGTGGAGAACCCGGACTCAAACTGTTCCCGGGAAAACCGTTCGCGGAGTAGCTCACGTTCGAAGGCATGTTCGGCTCGACAAGTTGCTGGAAGGGCAGTAACGAGTGTCCGGGCACGAAATCATTATGCCTAGGCACGAGCACGGGCGGCAGCACGGGACTCTCGACACGTTTGTAATGGTACGGGTTGATGCAGACCTCCTTCTGTTTCGCTGAGAACGGGAACTGACAGTGTTCTAAGGGTTTCAGCTCGTGGTGACTTTGTAAATCCGGCCATCGCCACACACGACAGTAGATGACATGAGGGAGACCTTTTCGGTGTGAGACCTGCAGCCGTCCGTCCAAACTTCTCGGAATTGTAACACATTTGCTCGGCGTGCCGGGGCAGGAGAGTGCCCGTTCTAGCTCTTCAATTGCGCCCTTTCGTTTCTTCAGTTTTTTTACCAGACTATCCACCGCCTTTTCGGCCCACTTCTCTTCTTCGTCCCCCTGCTTCCATCCCAAGAGTTTCTTAACGGCGGGACTGGTGAACGAAAAAAGGCTATTAAGCGTCGACATGGGTCCACTACTCGAAGATTCGGCTTCGTCTGTCTCCATGATGCGCTAAAAAACGAAATTTATTAGCAGTTTTAAGTGCAAGCCCTTGAAATGATTCAGTAGTAGAGGTAATGACTCACACTTATTGATATTTCATGGGTCCAGCTGTACTCATTCATAAACATGATAAAATAGATCTGCACGTTTTAGCTGTTAAAGTAGTAATAGGAAGTTAAAACGCACAACCAGATTCAATCAAAGTGCAATAAACTTATGGCAATAATGCAAAATAAAAATAAAGAAAAACCAGTTACAGATATGCACTTAACGCACTTTACGTCTATTTACCATTAAACTCACCTGCTCACCTTTACGTAACTAACAAAATTTAATATCAACAATAACCACACCTTATTTATTACAATATCATAATAAAAACGACTGTAAACATTCACTTTGGTCAAATGGGTTCATTAATCGACGCCATACATAAAGCAAGCGTAAACATTTTTACACCAATTTGACTGAAGAGGGCGTTGCGTAGGGGGCGGTAAATTTAAACGACATAAACAATATATTTGAAATTTTAAATGAGCGTGAGTTGCGGAAAGTGTGTTATCTTGTACCCGCGGGAAAATGCTAATTTTTGTTATTGCATTAATCATTATTAGCACCAACTTCCTGGATTGAAGCGCTCGCATATGCAGAAACTCGTTTAAAGAAAATAATCGCATCCTCCTCAAGTCGCCAGTGAAAATATTTATTATACCTTTGATGGCTGAGGAATGCGGAAATTACAACAATTTCATAATTTTATCGCGTTATTAAATTTTCAATGTTTAATGCCCTTTACGTGATAGATATCTATTGCAGCAAAATATTTTTCTGATTTTAACTAGGAAGTAATGTACCAAAATATAATTGGGTAATTTACAGTTTCTTCTGAAAACCTTTTTGCTTTATACCAGTTATACCAATAGAATTTTACATTGACCATAAAGGAAATTGTATTTCCTCTATGCTAGTACTTAGTAGCCATTATTTAATTTGGTTGTTAAATGCTGGAGTATATAGGTAGATCCAGATTTGCGAATATGAATAATGATGTAGAAGCAGCACTTTCTCTGGTTTTTTGGTAACAAATCAAAAATTAAACGATTTTTTTCACAGAAAACACTTTTTCAAGTTGACTTTTAAATTCGGAATTAGTTCTATACGATATTTGGTTTCCGAAATACAGCTCTTCATATATAGATTGGCAAATGTTTCCAAAATAAAATAATAATTCTGTAGCCTGTAAGTAATGTAAAGACTGTTGTTAGATTATTGTTACTATCAAACTAAACAATATTTCAATTTTCAATACTGCATTTGCTTACCGTTTCTCGATATGCTAGGATTAGAAGGAGTTAACTTAAAATTAGAATACTTTAATAGTCTGCTTACTTACCTACTGAATAAGCATTTACCTCTCAAATCCAAAGTTTTTAAGAATACTCCTTCACCGTGGCTGTCCGAGAACACAAAGTTGCTAATTAAATTAAGGGATAATGCCCTGCGGAAAAGTAGGCAAACTGGAAAACCGCAACACTGGGATTATTACAAATCTCTGAGGAATTTTACTAATCTTACTATTAATTAAGAATGATAAAAAAGCTTATTTTAATTTCCGTGCACGACAATGTACTTCATGGCTTAATTTATGCAGCAGCGGAATCATATCTAAAAAAGTCGTCGACATATAGTACCTTTGCACCTTCAAATACCTGATGATATTAATACGTTCTTCATCAAGTCTGTACCTAATCTAAACGGTAATATTGATCGAGTTATAAAGTTCTATAATAGTGGAAAGCTTAATGCTAACATTCCGGAGTTTAAGTTTCAAACTGTCACACCTGATCAAATATTTGACATTATTCTAAACCTGAAATCTAACGCTTGTGGTGTAGATAATTTTAATGTAAAATTCATCAAATTGTGTTGTCCTTTCTTAATCCCATTCATTACTCATCTTGTAAATACAGCCATTTTGGAGTGTGAGTTTCCGTCCTTGTGGAAAAGAGCCATCGTTAAACCGATACCAAAAATATTAAAACCAGGAAGTTATTCGGACCTTAGGCCGATCAGTATACTGCCAATGTTATCTAAAGTTTTGGAAAGATGCTTAGAGTTGCAAATAAGAAACTTCGTCACACAATTCAATCTACTACCGGAAATGCAATCCGGATTCAGACCAAATCATAGTTGCTCTACAGCCTTGGCGCATGTGATGGATGATATACTTTGTGCAATTGATGGTGGGAAGATTACGGTGTTGGTTCTATTAGACTACAGTAAAGCATTTGACACTATTGATCATAATATACTGTTAGCAGTGTTACGGCACCTTGGCTTTGGTAACTGTGCACTTAACCTCATGAAAAGTTTTCTAGAGGGTAGATCTCAATTAGTTTATAGTTTAAATCATACATTTTCTAATGTATTGACTGTTAAGTCCGGCGTACCTCAAGGTTCTATATTAGGACCATTGCTTATACGTTGTACACAAGTCAGTTGCACAAAGTTCTAAAGACTTGCAGTTATCATCTATATGCGGACGACACACAGTTATATTACTCCTTCTTTAAACATGGATTACATAATGCTTGTACAAAGATAAATGCGGATCTGAGTTTTCTCTATTCCCACTCCAAAGATCATAATTTACTGCTCAATCCTAAGAAATCCGTCGCGTTGGTATTTGGTGCAGGAGCATTACTTTCTGCTGAGAATGTAAAATTACGTATTGATGATGTACCAATTAATGTAAAAAATGTCGCTAAAAATTTAGGATTGTGCGTAGATATAGTGATCTGCGCTTTAGAGAACATGTAAGGAACTGTATACGCAAGGCTTATGCAAATTTGAATAGCCTGTATCCGCACCGAGCATTCCTGTCCGTTAAGACAAAAAAAATGTCGTGCGACTCGTTAGTGTTCTCGCAATTTAATCATTGTGACATGGTCTATGGGCCATGTCTTGATGCTGCCTCTGACAAACGTATACAGGTTGTTCAAAATGATTGTGTTCGCTGCATTTTTGGTCTTAGGCGTCGCAGTCATATCTCTCACAAATTGAGAGAATTAGCGTGGCTTAATATGTCACAAAGGCGGAAGCTTCATTCTTTATGTGTGTATCACTCTTTAATTACTACTGGGTTTCCGAAATATCTTAATAACATACTCCTTCAAGTTTATTTCTAAATCAGCTTATCTGAAATCATTTTCTTACAACGCCGTTGTAATGTACAATGCCCTTTCACCCGAATTGAAACGCTTACCCTTAAAATTATTTAAATATCGTATCATCTTTAATGTTAGACGATTAACGTGCACAAAGCAAATATGGCAATCACAGTAGGCATCAATGTCTATAGGGTAACACTGGTCGGATTATATTTACATTCTGTCAGTTATGGGTTCTTTCGCAGCAATTTTGAGGTTGAGTGGTAGAGCGGAGAAGAGCAGTCCCTCAGTATTGCTTTTCAACCGAACTTCGCCTTTGGGGTTGCAGTCTATTGCATTACGTGCATCTGCATCTTTAAACTGTAAAAATATGTACTACCTAATCGTATTTGTGAACTGCTGCATCACCCAATAAAGCTATATTATTATTATTATAAATATTGCATATCTTAATTGCGCCCTTTATATTTTTTTAAGTTGCTGTCCTAGGTCGCCCTCTTGGCTTATGAGAAAACCTTTCAGAATTCATTTATGTTTTATAGTGGCACAATCCCCCAAGCTTTAAAGTCCGAACTTGGCTTCTTATTTATCAACCCTTTCGTTGCTTGATTCTATGTCGATAATGGATTTGAGCCCATTCAATTTCTTTATAATATACTATACTATACGTAAGCACCACTGTTTGAACAAGAAGAGACCAAACCACAGATTTTTGGAACTGAAGGAATAACGGGTTAAGTGGTTACAGTTTTTACCGATCGCCTAATCGCACATATATTGCATATACTGCAGTTTTCCTAATTCATAAGGTAAATACCGGAGTAGTATAGAACAAGTTAAGACCTTCTGCAGAGGCACCTCTAAATAGCATTATGCGGGTCACTCTGTAATTGAGCGCAAGCCCGTTGAGGGCCCAGAACAAGAGAGGGATAATAAATAAATAAAATTAGCATGTGTTAGAAGAAATGGCCTTACTGTTTGCCCATTCATTGCATGGCGATTTTTTGCACTTACCATTTCTGTAAAAAGTGATGCAATAATCTATTTTTAATAATTAAAACTAATGCAAAAAAATCAAATGACTTTTACTACCGACGCGTGATAAATTTATTGGTAGAATGATTCTAACAATGGATATCAATAGATTATAAAATGGAAAGGCCTGTGCTAATATTTCAACATTCTAACATACTGAAAAATTATATTAACATAAGGCAACTTAAAAGCTAACAAGAAACGCTCGTTTTTCCATTATTCAGTTTAGCACATGAAAAACAATACATGAGAAATTAACGTATAGCTATCAATCCGGATTCTAAGAGCTTTTGTATTTTGGCCGCGATGTCCGGATTTCTTAAATGATCTTGAACAGCTTTGGGATCGTTTTGCATTTGTTCTAAAATCATTCGCATCGCCGGATCGCGTAGAATCGACTGAACTTCCGGGTCGGCCATCGCACGCTGTCGGATTTTCTCGGGATCGCCGCCGACGCCTGCATTTTCTAAAGTGCACTGCCTGTAACCCTGTAGGGCTTCGGCGTTATTAGGATCTATTTCTAATGCCTTTTGGAATGCGGCAATCGCCTTACTAGCCTGTTGCATACCCTAAAATCAAAGTTAATTAGTAAGAAAATGGAAATCAGAGGTTGTAACAAAAAAAAAAGAGAATTCTCTTTCACCAAGGAAATTGTGTAAAAAGACTGTACCCTGTCTGTTCATGCAAATACAGCATGTTCCAGAAGAAGTTGGCACTAATGCTTATATTAGTGCCGACTTTACTGTATATACAAAGGAAGGCAGTAATTAGGTACACAATAACATTAATTTAATTACCTGTAAAATGCATCCTTTCCGTATCCAACCCTTAATGAATTTTGGATCGAGCTCTACACATTTTTCACAATCTTTTAACCCCAGGTCAAAAGCGGCAAGCTTAGTGTAGCAAGCGGCGCGATTACTGTACAGTTTTGCATCATCCGGATTCCTTTTGACCGCTTCTGTATAGTGTCTAACGGCCGCTGCGTAATCCCCTTTCTTGAACATCTCGTTGCCCTTTTCCTTTTCCTCCTCTGCCTTTGCGGGATCTACATACGCCTTTCGTTCCTCTTCCTTAATGAATCTCTCAACTTGCGACAGCAAGGTCTTGATTTCTGGAGTTCTATGTTCGGACATGGACTTTTCGTACGCGATTTTTGCGCTCTCGTAATTTTTCATCTTCTTATGCGCGTTACCGATACGCATGAACGCTTTCGCGATTAGTTTGAAGTCGGCGCGATTTTCTCTTCCAACTTCGATACCCTTTTCGCACGTCGCGATGCACGTTTCGTACTGTTTCTGTTCGAAGTAAACTGCCGCTAAGTTATTGTAAAAGGTTATATCGGTGGGGTCATGTTTAAGTGCGTTTTCATAATGCGTAATGGCGATGGGGAAGTCTTTTTTTTTGTAAGCGTCGTTGCCGAGCTCCTTCTCTACCTTTGCTAGTTTTTTGTTTTCTGGTAAGTCGGGTTCAGGCTCTTTTTTGGGTTCGGGTTTCGGTTCAGGTTTTTTTGGAGGCGGTGTATAAGGCGGTTCTGTATCCATTGGTTCTTCTTGGCTCATATCGAAGCCCATCAGAACACCTAAAGCTGTAATTATACGAGAATCTTGCAAGTTTTGTGTGAGCAAGCTGGGATTTATTTGTATTTGTTTTATTAAATTTACAAAGGAAGGATCATTCATATACTCTTTGGTTCTTGAATCCAACTGTAATCGCATTAATACATCCCGTCCGGCAAATGGGTTAGGAAAGCCTTTGTTACTATTGAATTCTTTTTGTGACCGCACTTCGGACAGTCCCTCCTTAAGTTGTGCATTGTTCGGATCTACTTCTAAACCTTTTTCGTATGCTGCAATTGCTTCATCTGTTCGTCTTAAATACGCTAAAGCAGATCCTTTACGAGAATACCCTTTGCCCCAATCGGGTTTAAGTTCCACAGTCTTTTCGGCATCTTTTAATGCCTCATCATACTTGTTAGATTTCGCGTATGCCGCAGACCGATTTGAATATAAAACGTGATTGCTAGCATCTAAACTTATGGCTTCTGTGTAAAATTTAATAGCTTCCTCAAACTTATTTTCTGCTAATGCCGCATTCCCTTTATCTTTTAGTGCGGCAACCTTAAAATGAAGATAATTAATGAGTCATTAAAGCGACGTACGTTCAAGAAAGTAAAAAGTTAATAAGTAAACTTACTTGGTCCATTATTATCACTTACAAAGAACGAATTTAAAAAGCACGTTCGAACACTCCAGAAACAAGCTTCAAAATTGTCATTTGTCAGTTGTCTCTGTCAATTGATTGTCATGCCAACCTTTCTAGAACCTTCTGAAGGCGGCAAATTCAAATTGATACTTGTAGCTATTTAGCGCAGTAAAACTCTACCAGTCCATTGTTCATTCTTATAAAAAATGCTATTAGCTTTATTTATCGATTTAAACAAAGCTATTAGTGATTGATAATTATTTGCACTAACTGTCAAAAAAATGTTAGAACGAGATGTTTTTTACTTGCTACCAGAGCTGGGCAGAATACTTTCAAAAGTTTGAATACTAAATAGTAAATACTTTGCACAAATCAAAGGTATTTCAATACTAAATACTTTTACGTTCAGCACAAGCGAATACTAGATACAGATACATTGAAAAGTATTCAAATACTTGAAAAGTCCGTGTGCATGATAGTTTGTTTAGAAACGTGCGATCGCTTTGAAAATTGGTACACATGGTCTTAAGGATATAAGAACGGTCTCAGATCGACCCGGAAAAAAATTTTCTTATAGAATGTGGCCTGTAGAATCCATAATTTCAAACAGTTCCAAGATTGGGCTACTAGTTCAAAAGTTACAGCCCTTTGAATTTTTTTTTCGAAATTGGTTTCTAGTCTATAACTTTTGATTGAGAAGTCTGATCGAAAAAGTACGAATTGTTTTGGATTCTACCCACCAAAATTAATAAGAAAAAGTGTTTTCCCGAGAAATTTTGGTGTAGTCGATTTTTGGTGAAAAAGGAAGGTTATACACTGCCTTTTTTTGAGGCCCGAAAAAAAAATTGTCTCAGATCTACCCGGAAAAAAAATTTTCTTATAAAATGTAGCCTGTAGAATCCATAATTTCAAACACTTCCAAGATTGGACTACTAGTTCAAAAGTTACAGCCCTTTGAATTTTCTTTCGAAATTGGTTTCTAGTCCATAACTTTTGATTGACAAGTCTGATCGAAAAAGTACGAATTGTTTTGGATTCTCCAAAATTAATAAGAAAAAGTGTTTTCCCGAGAAATTTTGTTGTAGTCTATTTTTGGTAAAAAAGGAATTGGTTAAGTATTCAAATGCTATGCGAAGTATTCGAATACTTCTCAAAGTATTCAAATACCTTGGCGAAGTATTCGAATACTAAATATTTGTGAAAGTATTTGAGTTATAAATACAAATACTGCTTCCGTAAAAGTATTTAATTATACAAAGTATTTGAATACTTTAAAGGATTTGAATACTAAAAAGTATTTACAAAATCGAATACTGTCCAACTCTGCTTGCTACTACAAAAAAGGCCCAAGGCTATACAAAGATTTGTTTATTCAAAGCTTCAATGAATAAACAAAGGGTATACCGACTTTGATTATGATTTTACGAAAAAGGTGTCAATAGTATATTAACACATAATGTAAGCGATTATGATAAGAGTGATTGATATAGGTAACATGAACGAATAAGTTGAGGGCCCAGAACTAAGAGGGACAATAAATAAATAAATAAAATAAAGGCGACAAAAAACGCGTGCACAAAAGCGACCTAAAAGCTGTTATTTATCCATTTATTAGAAAACTCTACTACATTTAGTTTGTTTTTTTCTATTTAAAAAGATACAGAGAGAAATTGGGTAGAACCAGCTTGAAGCTTTAGAAGTTTACTTCAGGTTTCATAGTTCTCAATACCTTACGATTCCAATCCTTTTGGGCGGTTCTGATTAAAACTTGAAGAAACTGATGAAAAAGCATGTAAAACTTATAAAAAAAGAATAAATAGCGAAAAACACACAAAATCATGGTATAGGCGCTCGGTAATCCGGCACCCAAATTGTTTCGCTTATGCCGGATATTATTAGTGGATTTCTATCGGATATTAAGTATTTTTTATATCATACATGTACGATGTGGGAAATAAGTCATAAATTGCTATACAGTAAAAGACCCATATAGCACTATACTAATTCCCATGGATGTATTTAGAACCAACCATGGACTTTAGAGCGTTCCTTGAACGTCCACGTGAAATATAGTGGAGTAACATGGAGGGCACAAAACTGGACATCCACAATATGTCCATATTTAATATTACATGGACGTGCATTCGAAAATTAAACATTCTGTCTAGCAATTCATATTTATTAATCTTGAAATTAAAACAAAATTCTACGGGCATGTCAGATTGATAAAAAAATTACAAAAGTATATGTACATTACACCTCAACCACCGCCTCAACCAGTTCTATATTGCCAATGCTAAAAGAAATATTTTATTAAGTATCTGTTAAACTGAAATACCTATATTCAGATTTTCTTCATCAACATCAATTTGAGATTAGCTTAGGACAGCTTTTGTAATTTGTTGAGACCATACACCTGAAAAATTGTAATTACTTATTGATCAACAGCAATATATGTTAGGTATTTTATAAAAGATAATTTTTACTTACTTTAATAAGGATGAAAAATAAACAATCCACTGTCTTAAAACAAAACTCATGGCGTACCGGTTGTAGTTGTGAGCGGTGATTTGTGAACACGCCGGCGCAACGCGGTGTTAGCTGCGAGTTCTTAAAAATGGCGACTCACGTCCTTGATATAAAAAAATGTAAATTAAACACTTTCTATAACGGCCTGGTCTTTGTTAAAACAATAGATGCCTGGCACGTGTTAAATGTCTATTGTAAAAGTACCTATTTTCATAGAGGTATGACCACATCGCTGGAACGTATATTTAAAACATCCCCAAAAGGTTTCGGGAAGAACATCTAAGCTCACTAGTGCCCGATTATATGATGATATGACATTGACATAATGTCAATGTTAGAGATCGGTTTTTTATAACTATACCTACTCACAAAACGTCACTATTTAAACGCTCCTTCAGTTACAATATTGCAAAGACGTATAATGAATTACCATCTCATTTAAAACATTTATCCGAAAGTCTTTTTAAAAAACGCTTGCGCCTCATACTCCTTGCAAGACAGCATTAAGCTCCATCGTTAACATCATTATTGCTATAATTTTTTTTTTTACATTTTTTTTTTAGGTTTTCATTTGTGCCTTCATACTGAATGGTTTTTATTATCATATAGTTTTTTCTTGCTAGGTTTTTTTTATATCTTGGTCTCTTGTTGTTAATTTCATATGTAGGGAGTTGAGTGGTAGAGCAGACGGAATAACACGGTTTATTCCAGTCTGAACTTCGCCCTATTGAGTCACCCATTATGTAATGTAATGTATAATATCTGTTCTTTGTATGGTGTGTGCTCAATAAATGTCATTATTATTATTATAGAGCGTTTTTGATCCTTTAATGTAGTAACGTTGATTACAATGTTCCGTACTCTTTTAGCACTTTTTTGTCCAAATAATTAAATGTTTACATAATTTTAACAGTGTTGTTAGTAATAAGGACATATTTTTGTAATGATTTGATATATAAAATCAAAGACAATTTTAATTTTGTTCAGCTTATCTGGTCTGCTCTTCAACCTTGAAAGTTGATTTCATTAGGCGTCCTTTAATTATTTTGATGTATTTATCAAAAAATTGTTGAGATAACATGCTGATCCTTGTGGTTTTCTAATCGGTGGTATTCCTATTGCAAACGTCAAAGATGAATCAACCCCTTTTCATTATGCGTCTTAAATTTAAAAGAAACGAAATAGTAGATGTTAAAAATATTATAATACTATCTTGATGTAAGACATAACTTAGTTCATTAAAATTAGCTAATTAAACATAGAGATGTAGTACATACAAAATTTTGAGATGAACTACGATAACTAACAACAATAAATACAACAGGTAAATTTCAAGTAGTTAAAATATACGAACACAATGTCTATCGTCAACATTCATTCAAAGTCTTACCAATTTACTAGATATGGGGTGATTAGAATATCACCGTTTATAAACCTTTCCTTTACTTGTAATAAAAATTAATAAATTAGGTAATTTGTACTTTTCTTTACAAGTAAGAAGAAATCTATCTACACACTAGGATTCGCAAAAAACGTCAGTCAGAAAAACCTTGTATTTCAATGGAAATAAGTTATTCTTGTTCTGTCTGTAACAATGAAGAATAATTTATCCCGACAATCTCTACATTCTTGGATCACAGAAAAGTTTTTTGGCAACTTCTTAATCTCTTCCTCGCTGCCAAATGAAGGCACAGTTAGGAGCTGACGCTTCTGCATGTATGACATGCTTATACTTCCATGTACCCTACGGATGTGTTCGACATCTTCATGCATTCGCTTGAATTATTGATGATTTATAAATATTCGTGTTATCGTATGGGAGCTGTGAACAAACGAGACTGTTAGCATGACACTTCGCATAGAAAGAGTAATACTAACCTCATCTTCGCTATCCTCTTCGTATTCGCTGTCACTGGTAAATGGGGATTCTACACCTCGCGAGCGTAAAGCTTCTGCAACAGCAGAAGGCACCGGAAAACCAAGTTGTAGAACACTTCGTTGGCCGTAGGTTAAAATGTTTGGATTTAACTTTTTACATTCGTATAGTAAGAAGTGGACCATCTGTTCGTCGACTCGCTCGAGCGCGTAGTGGAGCGCGGTGAAGCCCTTCGTGCCTTCCCTCGCGTTTACATCGGCACCATTCCAAACTAGGTGACGAAGAACGTCGATATGACCGTATACTGCCGCTACATGTATGCACGTTTGGCCTGTAACAAGGAAATACAGATTGTAGATCTTTTGGAGCTTTGGCATTATTGTTGAGTGAAGCGCTAAACGTTACTATGGTTCGATATGAATTCGAGAGGGGGGTATCGAAGTTAACCAAGCAATGAAAAATGAGGATCTAGACTCTGAGCTTGGCGATACTGATTGAAACTCAGATTTGAGTCAGAAGGCTGAGAAGATGTTTACAGTGGAACGGACGGTTCGCTGAACTTCTTGCGCTATACCTCTTTGATAAAATTGGCAGCTACAAAGTAAACCTTGCTTACCCCCTCCCCCTCGACTCCGGAAGTGTAAAGCTCTGCGTAATCTCAGAGACAGAAGTGATTGGCGCATGGAAAACCTAAGATTCACCTAATAAACGATCCGTGGGCATTTTAATACCATAAAAAAAATCGTACCTACACAGCTGCGCACTTGTGATCTTTAATATCGACTAGCTTAACGCTAACCATATATGGTGAGGAGACAATGACTACATTTAGCAACAATGTGATGCCCAGTCGCCGCCTCACAAATTAAAAAAAAAGTTGCGGTCAAAAATTGAGCGCTAAGGAAATTAGTTTGAATCACATCCTTGATTCTACGATTTTTTCTCATTAGCACAGAATGCTCGGAATTTCAACTCGAAAATATCCCTTCGGTTATTCTTGGCTTAAAACATGCGGAATTCAGACCTCCTCGCGGCCAGACAGGTCTGGTTTTCCCAAAGTTAATGTTTTCAAAGGCATTCCGCGAGCGCGCGGCAAGATCTCTTCTATTATTAGTGGCGCATTTCAGTGAAGGACTGAATGAAGCCGAGCCGAAGACTCATTAGTCTGTTATGTCGGTCTTGGAAAATCCCGCGTTAATTTAGGACACGTGTTAAGTACGTGGGAAAATATTGAGGGATATCGTTATTAAAACAACGATCCCGAAATAATTCATTAAAGAATGCAAAAGTCGAAGCGCGTGATTTCGTAGGCGTTTTGCGCTCAGTACTATCAGGGAGCGCCTGCCAAGAAAAACCGTCCGAAAACTGCCCAAATATGTTTAGATTTTCGTGTTGTACGTCTGGGTTTTCCAAAATGATTTACGCTAATGTTTGCATGCTTGTCATTTTATTAAGGCGCGTCGCGGTTTTGAAGATTCGTCTTGTTTGAACCCACGCAATGGACTTTAGTTTAGAATGTTACTACAAAAATACGCTCAGAAATTGCCTCAATAGTTAGGGATTCCCGTCCCGTGTAATTTAAAACTCGCACAGGCAAAATTGAATTTTCCATACATCAATATCTTTCTAATCAAGGTTATTGTAAACGCGACCGTGATATTTAGCAGTAAAAGTTGGGACAAGAAGGTTAAATGGAATGGTAAAAAAATAAACAGGAAGTGCAACTGATAAAGTTCGCAACTTCTATTTACTTCCTGTGTGAATTGGTCAAGCTGTCGTGATTTACATACTTTTGTTACGATGGAGCCACCTATAATTATGGGCAAAATTTGGATTTTCCAGTGAGATCAGAGCGTAATAATTATATTCAGCATCGATGCAAAATTAATCAGTTGCACGCAACGGCTGCTTTTTGGAAAAGCACAAAAACAGACTGTGACGCATTTTGATAACACATTGATCCTTGCGGTTTTCTAATCGGGCAAACCCTATTTGTTAATAATCCCGAGAAGTATTTCAATATGTGGTTATCGCGCTTGAGATCGGTATTGAAATTACCCACAGTTACAATGGAAGAAATTGGAAAACTGAGGACCCTCGGGCGTACAGACAGAATAATTAATAAGTATGTTTAACAGCATAATTTGGGTTTTTCCGAATACGTGAACAGCGAAAGATGGCAGATGCTCTCGTGCGTAGCAGGCTCTGATACTTACCATCGTAATTCCATTGATCAAGTTGACAAGGTTGATAGGGCTGTGCGGGATAATTCAAAACTAAGGCATCTCGTTCGTTTTGTGTGACGGGGTCAGTGATGGCCTTACAGCTTTGCACATCTCCAGTCCTGGCGCAAATATGCAGAGGTGAATCACCTTGCCGATTTCTCGGCGAGGGCTTTGCACCGGCAACGATCAACCACCTAACGATCTTCCATTGTTTGGTCGCAACCGCGTAATGCAAGGGTGACTGCGCGTCGTCATTTGGCGTATCCAGCAGATGCGGTCTGGGAGCTGCCCGAATTATCGCCAGTACCACTTCAAGGAACCCCTGAACTATAGCCGAATGAAGCAACCTGAAAAAGAGACGACAAATTACGCAATGGGCCAATTTACGGTAAAATTTTCCCAATTCGTCAAATTGAGCTTAAAGCGCGTTGTTCTTTTGATTCTTTTTTTCATCTCCTCCAAGCCAATAAAACTTTGCGGCTTGGGAATACCCAAATTCTCTTACAATTTGAGAACGCAATTACGGTAATTGGATGCGTTTAAAAACGTATTGGTGGATAATTAATAAACAAATTGTCAAATTAAAAAATCAAATTTACTCTGCCCAATTAACTAACACTCAAAGTTGATAAACCTAATCAGCTTAACAGGATACGATAGCATGGGCTCCCATTCGCTCTAGAGCTGGCTGGGGGACCGTTTGAGTTTAAAGGGGTCGGCGGCCTGTTGGGTTGGCAAAAGCTTCTGAAGGTCGCTAGTGTTTCTTGTTCTGTTTTGGTATTCGGTCGATAAGAATAACGTCATCGTCAGCGCTACACGCAACATCCACCTCGTGCTGATCGAATCTATTGGTGTCAAAATCATTCATTTTTCCCCTTTAGCACGGGAAAGTTAATTAAGGTCAGGTCAATTGAATTAATGACAGTCGCAGAAAAAATCTCATCTGAGGCGACAAGTGCAAAGTTCAAAGAACATAATATAAAAATTGAAAAACTAGATTGCCACAAGGTAACAAGAGGGAAAAATCCGATGATTTCATTACATTGAAACCGATAAGATGATTTTATCATCGGAACGGCGACAAGGCCTTAATCATCAGTTTGGGGCCCGAAAAAACTTTCCTCCACTAAGGTCAAAAGTCTCAAAAGGATTGTTTACTTCAGGGATTTCCAACTTTCTTCGATTGTTTCGTAAAATACACGTTCACATAGTAACTACGTCCGCTGGTTTTGCGTAGGGAAAACCTTTAAAAAACGGTATTTAAATATCGAATCAATTGAAGGTCTAATAATAGCGGGCTTATTTATAATTATCCCGCATTTTTTGGCACGAGGAGATATCAGGGGATGACGTATTAATAACTTCCTTATACGACTGCAATAACAAGACATTATGGATTTTCCCATCCTAATTCTGTGTGCTCGTTTTTTGAATAGAAATATTCCATTGGTCAATTACGACGATAAATGGGATTATTAGTAAAAAATAAACTTACGTATCTCCATCTTCATCTTGTTCGTAGTAGAGTTCCCAGGGCACTTTTGGTTCGGGTTTCGTTTCGATGATTGTTGAATTGAGATTGTTTAGATCTGGATTCTTGAGGCTTAGACTTGAGAAATTCTCAGACAATGACAAGACTACGCCACCGTCTAACTGCAATTGCATGTCTTCTTTATTAACACTTTCTTCGATATCTCCCGATAACAGTTGGGATTGCTCTTCCGATATTTCACCCGAAATAAAACCACTATCCGTTCTGGAAGACTCGTACAGGGCGAATTTATCCTCAGTCATACCAGCGGCTTTACCAGAAGCATCTGCAAGCATATTGTATTGATGTTTACTATCCATTATTCTTGATTTTTTATGGTCTATTAGCACTAATAACAAGATGGCCCCAGAGTTTTTATAGGTCGACACAACTACCCGCGCAATTCCGATTTAAACTTTTGGTGCCGTGAGATTTTCGAAGGTAGCGCACGCGAAAGGGATAATTGAATTCGTTACGTATAATTTCGAAAGTTCGTTAATCGCAATAAGAATAACCGTTCTTATTCCCCGTCTTAATTCTCGTCAACTGAGAACCGTATAAGCCTGGAACCACGTTTAACAGCGCATTCTCGAGGGAATCCCCAGACATGCGCACCGCCGCTGCCACACCATCGCATCGACATACTCATGCAATCCCCAGATAACATTTTCCAGCTGATAAAACTTTTTAAACTTTCCGAAATTCCTCGCTTTTAATTATTATACTATCGGGGAAAATTGGATTATTTTGTTTTGGGCGCTAATTACGTACGGATTATTTCTTAATTGGGAAAATGGGGGCAACACGCGTGATGCATTATTGATTGGTTTGTTTATTTTAAACGTGAGCGCCACGCGCGCTTATGAAAAAACTTGACCAAAACCCTGAGGAACGTCATTTACCTATGATTGTTTACGTTTAATTCGTGACGCAATTTAACACTGAAATGAGTCAAAACCGCAAGAGATTCAATTATGCATCATTATATTATCGCGGGAAGAATGCTCCACTTCCTCTTTTCTCTCAGAGCGCCAAATTTGGTACCTACGGACGCGCGTAGAGGAAAATCCGTGGAAAGATCCGCCACCCGAAATATCCCAAATATAAATAGATCAAAATATTTTCTGTTTATATTTTGCGAAGTTATTTTCGATGACCCAATTTTACGAATTAAATTATTACCTATTATTTATAGACGAATTTCTGTATTTAAAAGTATTCTTTGTTCCACTTCAAATAGCTTGGAAAGTCCGCCACGCGAACTTTCGCTAAATTCAAACTAGAAATTCTCGTATACATGTCTGATGTCGGAATTCCCTTACCTCTTTGCCATGTGCCGGCTGCTATCGTAAATTCTGTACAGAATAATGCGAGCAAAACTAACTGTTAACATTTTTGGGGCGAACAACCTTTATTAAAAAATGGTCACACGTTTTATAACAATTTTCTGAAAGGGTGCAAGCGAACTGAGAGCAATAAAATTATCTCTGCTCTCTGAAATACTGTTCATTTATCTGTGGCTTCCCCGCGCAATTCAATTTGGGAAAATTAATTTACTTACTCACATAACGCACCAAAAAGTCAAATCCACATTGCAGGGGAAATTCGAGTTACTTCATGACTTCATCTAAAAAGACTTTGGGAAACTTATACCACGAACACAACACCCGAAGTTGCACGTACACAGCATAATATAATAATTTGTTGTCAGCAGTTCCAATTTTTTAATCAGGAAGGGGTACACCAAATATTTTTGCAGTACATTAGCACCAAATTAGCACAAACATTAAACAATAAATTATGCTGTTTTCAGCTCACCACTGGCGGCCTATCCACAAAACGCAATATGCTACACTCTAGATTACGAAAGCTGAAGGTGCTCTATCACTCTATGTTGGTGTTTTTGAACTCTTGATCGGGGTGAGTTTCAAAAGTGAAATTCTACCTTCCCAAACGTGACTGTAGTAATAACAATAATGTTTTTGTCTCTGTAGTGAATTTACAAAGGAACACGATGGCGGATGCAAAAACTAACGATCTAGTGTGCGCTAAAGTCGCATCGGAAAACTATCCCAGGTAAATTTGTCCCGTGAAAAATGATCTCCAGCTTACTCTACACGGATAGATCTCCGCTTTCAAAAGAAATCACTGCAGGTTTATCCGGCCCTTGGAGACGCTACTCATACATAGTCAGACCCGCAGATCTTAATATTCTCGTGTAGGTTCCCAAGAACACTACAATTGTTGGACATTTTTAAAAGAAATTTATTACTGGTGTCTTAGCGATGGCCGGCTTTCCGGTTATGTTCTGCGTGCATTGCCAAAATTTGGGAAAAATTGACTTGAGAGCAAATTTTTGGAGAAAATCTCTTTAGGATCTAGTTTTCTTCAACGTGAAGCTGCAAGGTAGTTATATTCCGAATATTTTGCATGCGGACGAAAATTCTGATTAAAATAAAAGGCAACTGTAAAATTGAGTGCAAGAGTGAGTTTTCTTAACTGCTATTCTACATAAACTGTTTTATCAACAGTAATTTGATGGAGAACGGGTATTCCGTATGCAATAGATGAGTAGACGAATTTTCCGTTGGCGAAGATTTCGTAGCAAATCATTCGGGAGCCATTTTCTTGAATTGTTTGTTTGAAATATTTTGGGGAAATCTACTGGGGATAATCTTTCTACAATTAAGTCAAGCTATGATTCTTAATAATATAAAATGATAAATTGCTACTTGGAAAGCTCGCAGAGCGCATCTTTAAAAAAATTCGAAGTGATTGGCCCGTTGTCATCTGCCACTGAGGGTCACTCCCAAATTTCAAGAACATACAATAGCATGCCACTTTCTACATAAACCAAGGGTTCAAAGAGTAAAACTTCCTCAAAACTTTTACATCCCTTTAATTAGCGCATTTTTTTAGAATAAAAAAAATGTGCTATTGTTTGCGTTTTGTCCGTCCGTCCGTCCGGACCCACTCCTGCCGTTTCTAACTATTTCTAGGGGAATGGTCCTAGAGTCCTGGAATTTTTTGGAGTAGGTTGAAGGTGTGCCAGACGGCCATCAAATTTCGCTGTCTAGAAGCCCCCCCCCACCCCCCCATAAATTATTTCCTGAGATACTATTTTTGAAAGTAAAACGCTAGGTAAAATGTCCATAACTTTTACATACGACAACCAATTGGTCTCACATTTTGCATACGCATGCCTTTAGTGGTGCCAAGTAAAACTTTACAAAATGGGGAGGGGGGGGGGTAAACACATGTTCTACCCTTCATGGTAAAAATTAATTTGATCTCTCTTTGTATTCTAATGAAAGGTCTCAACGAAAGGAACCGTTTTCTATCACCTTCTGCCTTCTTTCTGTCCTCTTATCAAAGTAAGGGGTGGGGGGGGGGGTGAGTGGAACTAGTTTTATCCTTCATGGTACTCTAATCGTGATCGGGTATATTCCCTTATACCTCAAGAACGGATTGTCGGAAGAGGGTACTCACAAAGGGCGATTGAGACGTCTGCAAGAAATATATCCATTGATGATGTCAAAACAAAAGCTATTTCGGTTACAAAAAAAATGCGCTTTATCTGCACATGAGTTGTGCACAATTTAGACTTGTTTTTAATTCCCAGACATTGGTGAATAGAAAAAATAACAATGTACTAATCTTGAAATATGGTATGTGAGGACCTTTGAATACGAAAAAAATGGTTCCAAAATTATTAATTTTTTTAGTAATTGTAGAGCACCCTGAAAGGAGAATTTAAAATCTGATTGATATCAGAGAGGATATGTAAACGAGAGGGGACAGCTAAATGGGGCTAACAAGGAACACTGTTTGGTATTTACAACCGGCGTTCATAGAGGCATTGCCGACAGTTTCTGGTTCCTTTTATTGAATTTAGGTTTGAAAAGTTGTAAGTTGTAGGGCTCTAGGAGTTGGCAACAAACAAAATTAATTGTCAATGTCAAAATAATGTTGTGTTTTTGTAGAACCGTTCACAGTCACGGTTATTAATCTATATAACGGAGAGAATCTGTTTATATATATATATATATGTATATATATATATATATTATTATTATTATTACAAATCCGCTCTGTTGTAGAATATGTTACCATTGAATTTATATTCAATGATGTTACCTACATGAACTATTGGAAGCTTGAAAGTCATATTTGAAAAGCCCGCTCTTTAGTTGTAGTTAACGCCAACGTTCACAGATGGCAGGTAAAAATTAGACACATACGTAATTAAAAAGCTGAACTGTGCTGCTAAGGGTCCCTGGTTCGAATCCAGGTTCGGGCATGGATATTTGTTTAATGTATGTTGGGTTGGTAGAGCAGCCTTAGCTGAAATTCCGCCCACTCAAAAATAAAAATGAAATAAATAAAAAAGGAGCTGTCCCCTCTCGCCTTTCTGATAGATATTGAAACTCAAGCTAAGAAATTCGCATTAATATCAAGGTGCCTAATAGGCCGCCTTCTTACGCCTCAAATTAAAATTCGCGCTATTGATCAAAGAAAGTGCTACGCTTGGGCGCATATACAATATCAAAAATAACCAGTTGCATAAATATCGTTACCAAATTTACGCTGGGAGCATTTAGCAATGTCAATTCACAACATATATGTGAGGGAGGGGGAGTCTAATTCAAAATACGAACCATTTCAATTAATTTCTTTGTAGACATTTAAAAGTTAAGTTAATTGTCAAAATAAAAAAATGTCAAATAAATAATATACATTTGTTGCTATTTAGAAATGCTATCCTTCATGTATTTCCATCTGAGCCTTTCACGTCTCTTTCTTTGTTCTATCTTCTATACCTATACTACCGATTGAGGGAGGAATCGGATGCAATCCAACGCACTCCGGATATGAAAACAGAGGGTGGGTATTGGGAGAACGTGCTTCTCTCGTGGTGCAAATATTCAATGAAATTACGATATTAATGGCAGAAAAGAAGAGAATTTATACTTAGTATTTTACAGACTGCCGTTCAATCGATTCTGGACTGTTAATAAAAATTTCAAAAGTGAGACACGACAGGACTTTTTTACCAAATATACAGTATAATTTGTTTTAACTAGCTTGGCTTTAAAACACGAATTTTACCTGTGGATGTACCAACTCTCATACTTAAGGGCTGGTCTTGCATATAAATTTATACAACGACGAAACGAAATTTGTTCAAAATGGAAGCTATTGTAGCAAATATTCCAGAAATCACCGAGTTGCTTGTTAGAATACATTCCAGAAAGTAGAGGTAGAACAGAGAAAAAAGAATGAAGAATATGACAAACAAAATACAGAAAAGAAATTGAAAATTGAAGCTCTAACGCTTTTCACTGGCTATAAAATAGGTACCAGAGAATTGCACAGCATGGCTTTAGTATTTGTATTTAACGTGTACCTGTTATTGTATACAGGGTGTTAATTAAGTACTTGTACAAACTTTAAACGGTGAATGTTTGACTAATTTTAAGATAAAAAGTTGTATCCCAAATAACAAAATGTAAGCAAAAGACCAAATAAAATAGTTTTTTTGGACGCGCTGTATCTCAGAAACCAATCCGTTGCGGACCCATGTTCATATGAACTTTTTAACTTAAAATTTGTCAAAGAATCACCCTTTAAAGTTTGGACTTGTATAGTTAGCAGATTCATATAAGGCCTTTCGCAATAGGTCACTGACGATTCAACTCAGTTCCACTGCAAAACTTAGGTTAAAAAACTCACCTCCAAGAAAATCGATATTTTCACTCAAACTTAAGGACCAATAGCACACGAATGTGAATTTGGTTGCAAGCACAGATACTACGAGTGCGACTAACTCTACGACTATATGCCTGGATAAACGGCAACGTTGTGATGAAAACCAAAATTCTCGTAATGAAACAAATCCACATGACACTAGCTTTCTTTCAAATACCGAATGGAAGGTTTTCCCTAAACAAGTATCTATCTTTCTAATACTTCACTCCCTTTTTTTTATGCTTCTAGGTACATCAGGTTGATTATAAACAAAAGGAATAAAAAAAAAGAATTTCCCAAAGGTCTTCCCAAATCGTTCTATTGCTATTACAAGGTCAGAAACCCAAAATAATGCTCATCAGTGAGAGAAAAGTAAGTAGTAGGAACTGACATTACAATATGTTCCAAAACAAATCTACAATGTTGCATTGTAAGTTGAGGCGTTCTCCTTAACATTAATTACGCAAGTAAACATTTGCATTTAGTTCAATTACATTTTAATTAAAAAAGTTCAATTTGCAAACAACAACGTTTTGAATTCTTTTTGATTACGTCTGAAATCCTGTATACTATACCATTGTATTTATAAGCGTTTATATATACAATGACTATACCTAACACAATGAGTTAACCAGTGGTGGAATTGCAATTGTGGCCGCCAATTACTTATGAATTTTTGAAAATTATGTTAGATGTAGGAGTGTAGTTCAGAGTTTACTTTTCAATTTTGAAATAATTTGGGATTCCAACCAATCGAAACAAAGTTCAAGATTTCCTTTCAAGGGTCTTGGATAAATACAAAAGCGCTTTATTTGGACTTTGAGACCAGCGTGCCATACTTTTCCAAAAATCAATTGATAATTATCCGCTAACGGTTGAAATGACAGATGATCATTGCGCTACCAGATGAAATTTGGCATTTGCATTTACTATATCAGAAAAATATGTTACGAGAATAGGGTACGGCCACCTTCACGTACCTTAACCTTGTCGGAAAAACATTAATGTTTAACTGTAACATTGCCAAACTATTCATCGTGTCTGATATAACAACTTATATATAACCTTGTGCGGCAAATACCATCCTCTGGTTTGAAACGAACATTCCCCTCGGCGACGAATGGGAAAAACAAATTTTATAATAAACAATGAAATGAATGTTCAATACAACTATATTTGCAATATCTAAAAATTCCTTTAAACGTGAGTGACCTTAGCATAAAGATCCGTTTATAAATTTCCAATAAAAATCATAAATAATCCTGCTTCTTCTAATACGAACGTAAATAAACACCATCATTTGGATTTTACAAGTGAATTAGAAAACTTTCACTTAACAAAATATTTACGTTACTCTTAATACTCTCAAAAATAGTTCAGAACCACTTTACCCCAACTGATGTCGATGTGAAAATTCCTATTCGTCATTTGTCCTATTGTACTCCTTCTTGCGTCATTTCCGATTGTTAAGAAGAACTAAAGGTTTGTAGAATTTTAAGAGCGTGCAAAAAACCACATTACCACACGGGTTGGTGTACCACTTTTACCTTTGCAACAAAAAAATCTGTCTATAGATAATAAAATTAAGGTCTTTATACTGTCTTGTCTATATTACCTATTAATAAAAGACGAAGGTTATTGTGATCAATTCTATTTTAAACGTGTTAGATCATAAGATACTCCATTGATTGCATGTCTTAATTAACGCTACTTAATCGATCGTTATTTCAGGTATGAGATCTTCCTTTTTGCGCATTCTTTCGCTGTAATTATAGCTTATTCTAAATCCAGGCGGGAATGTTAGAAATCTACGCAATTGACTAAGATGGGTTATTCCTGGACCTTATTGGTTAATCTCGGATTTTTTTACGTTAGTCATGTATTTCTCATTGGGGCGGATTAGACACACTATAAGAAAAATTTGCATTCTGTTCCGGATGATTACCCCCACTGTTGGGATGCAAGGTCAAGAAGAAGCAACTCGAACTTCTCGTTGGTACATACCCAAAATTCTGAATCTGACTTTCGGAATTTGGCGAGTTATTCAAGCGAATCGATAGTTCGCCAATCAAAAAATGGTATACGTGAGGAATTGAAAACCACCTTCATTTTAATGTTCTTGGGTCATTGCAGGGAATCCCCATTAGTACCAGTTTGACTTTCCACCATAATTTCAGGTCACATTGAGACAAAATTATTTCCGATTGATAACCACATTTCAAAAACAAGCGTAAATCGGAAAATGCGCCCCCAAAAAGTTTTTGAAAAAATATTACTTACCCCTAAAATATTGTCGAAGAATCTGTCTGTATAAATCCACACGCGACATTTGGACGTAAATTAAAATCGTCGCACTAAACACGAATTAGGATTTCTCATATAGAAATCGCGCACGTTTCAATTGTTTACAATTGCGAATTGTTACTGATTACTGCAGGTACTGATTAGAGACCACCGGTTAGATGGAAAACTGATACAGAACTAAACTAATGAGAGCTTTTTCCGTAAAGTAAACCCGCCCGTGGTGTAATCAGGACCGTAGTCGCCGGGGCAAAACGTCGGGATTCCCGCAACGTGTGAAGTCTCCTTTTATGATATTAAATCGCGATTATCTCTCCGGCTACACGTTTGTTATGTTAATTGTGTGGCGCAATTTTCTTAATTAAACTTTACGTAATTCGTTTTACACCGCGAAAAATCTAAGCGCCTAATCCGAGATTGCGGCACTCCCGGATAAGATAAGGCGGGCGATTTTCGGGCGACATATACGTCCCGTGACTCACGAAATTACAACACCCTGTATTCGAAGCCCTTGAAAACAAGGATGATTTGTCTGAATTTACATTGAGTAATACAATAAGGGGGAGTAAAACGCACACGCGGTAAACTAAACGCCATAAAAACGCTACGTTTAAATCACGAGGCGGGTTTTTCCCTTAAAAACAAGGGCGAAATCGTCAGTTTTTAGTACAGATAATTTTACAGCAAAGCGGTAATTGACGGTTTGCTAATTTGTAAGTACCAAAGTTCGATAAAATTATGGAAATTTCATGGGAATATACAGAAAATTGACCAACTGGAATTTATCGAGAGAGTGTAGTAGAGAAATCTTAAACTTTTTGAAATACAAAGGTGAAATTTTCTTCGGTACCTTTCGCTTTTTTACTCGAATGAGACGTTAGAAAACTTTTAATTAAACAAAAATGATGTACGATACTGCTATTCGTAACCACTGACCTCTCAAGTTTGATCTATTTTAACCTTTTTGTTAATTACAATCCTTTGATGTGAATATGGTTTGGTTTTTACAGAATTTTTGGTAGATAAAGGTTTGAGCTGTGAAATAGGGGATTTTTCTTTCATACATCGTGCTAATAGCGTGTTTTCTAAATTTTCTCGTAAAACAAAAGAAATGAAACAGCTTTAGAAATCCCTCGAATTAAATATTTTTGAAAATGGTACATGCCTCCTCCTCAAATGGAACCGAAAATGTTCATTTTCTCATTTCTTTGTATGAGAAGTGGATTTAAAAGTGGATTTGGTTTTTACAGAACATGTGGTAGATAAATTCAATTAAAGCAGGGAACTTTAACCCCACAGACTCAAAGAGTATACCTAGTGTATTTTCTAAATTTTCTCGTGAAACAGAAGAAATAAGACAATAGTAGAATGAGAAATCCACTGACTGAAATAATTTTAGAAATGGTATACGAAATCTTTTTTCCATTCTTTCACCTCAAAATGTGCTTCTAATTTTACTGGCTTATACGCGCAAGGGAAACTGGAATTTTTTTCGAAATTGTGTTTTAAGGTTCAGCTTTTTTAGCGCATTTTTTAAGAAATAAACAAAATGTGTTACTGTTTTCGTTTTGTCCGTCCGCCCGTACGCCAGTCTGTTTTTGGGGGATTGTCCTAGAGTTTTCGCAATAAGTAGCGTATACCTTGAAGGTGTTGGCGGCCTTCAACTTTTGTTACCTTAAGGGGGGGCGGGGGCTTCCCCTGCAAATTATTTCCAAAGATGGTGTTTTTGAAAGTAAAACTTGCAGAACTTTTACATGCGACAACCAATTTGTGTCAGATAACATATACGCACACCTCTAGTAGCCACAAACAATTTTTGAAAAAGGGGGGAGTAAAAACACGTTTTACCCTTCATGGTATTCTAATGAAAGGTGTGGTCAAAAGTGGTTGGTTTATATAATAATAAGAAACTATAGCTTTCCTTCACGACTCTTTTTCGAGATGAGTGAGAGGGAAGTGTTAGAAATTGGCTTTATCTTTCATAGTATTCTAATTAAAAATATCAACGAAAGGACCTGTTTTCTACAAACTTCTTCCTTGCCCCTTATCAAAATGGGGAGTTGGGGGAAAACTGATTTTATCCTTCGTGATACTCTAATCTAATGAAAGGTCTCAACGAAAAAAATCTTCCTCCTCGACCGACGAAAAATAAGCGCTTAGGTAATTCTTCTTGCACTATACAGCGTTTAATGTGTTGCCCCCCTCCAAGAAGGTAAACATCTATAAACATAGAATACTACTACCTTATAAGCTATTTAGGTTTTAAAATTGCGCTTTATCTGCACTACAGTTGTGCACAGCATATGCTTGTTTAAAAATTTGCATATTTAACTATATCTGGAATGGAATCTTATGAGATATGTCCAGAGTTAGGCACTGGCTCAGGACATGTGGTGGTCCAAGTACTTCCCCCTGTTGATATCTCTTTGTCATAATTTAAGTATGTTTAATAAAATTAATCAACGAATTCATTCAAGCAACAAACCAAGATTACGATTGCCCAAAATGTAACGTCTTTCCTTCCTCGATTTATTGTATACCGGGTGGTACACGGTAAGTAGGAACATAGGGATTTAACATGGGAAATTAGTTTTATGCAATATCCTGCCCTCCTCTACATTCTTATGAATTAAATGAGGCGCTTGGCTTATGCAGGTATATAAAAAATAGATTGCGCATGCGCAAATTCGACTATTTTATTTGTAAACCAATTTTTCTGAAATTTTAACAGAAGATGCTTCTTATAAAAGAAAAATGAAAACCTATGTCAGAAAATGGAATTGCGCGTACGGAAAGCCAAGGCCTTAGCGCATTTCCACAAAAATAAACAATATGCTATTGTGATTACTTTGTGCGCCCGTCCGTGGGTCCGTCCATCAGTCTGTCCGTCCCTTTCACAACTTTATCTTAAGAGCTACTTTGGTTCGTTATGGTGTCGAGGGTTTCACCAAGAAATTTGTTCTGTCTCTTAATACAATCAATTTTTTCGCTTCCCATAATTTTACACTTTTGCTGTTTATTGTGTTTATAAATTTTATATGAAACTTGCTCTATTTTAGGGATCATTTTGGATCAAATAAACCCAAAATTTGATTGTCGAATCGATTAAATGCATTGATAGAGGCAACTAGAACTGTCTCCGTTGGAAACTATGGTTAATCCTATATTCTTTTGGGTCATTATTTTTTATATGCACTTTTTGAAAAAATAGATTGCGCATGCGCAGACGCAACTTTCTTATTTATGAACGGATTTTTTCTGAAATATTAAGGGAAAGTGACTCCTACGAAATAAATGAAACGTGCATAAGAAAATCTAAAAGCCCCAATAAAATTATTACGTATCCACAGACTTTCAAATCACGTTAAAAAACATAGATTTACGCATGCGCAGATATAACCTTCTTAGTGAACCACTTTTTTTTTAAATTTCAGCTGAAGGTGTTTCTTATAAAATCGATATTTAACAGAAGGAGCCTTCATACTTGATACTAGTAAATTGAACACAGATAACCAAAATTTATTCCGCATACACATGAAAATCAATTGTCTTATTGTGAGGGAATTTGCGTTTCTTATAAAACCAAACGGAAAGACAATTGTTAATGTGGCAATGCGCTTTTTGTAAATCGTTTACGATTACTTTTTTTAACTTGTTTTAGTTTCGCAGGTAACGCTATTTTAGTTTTATTTTAAAAGGATTGGTGCGAGTGCCAAAAAGCAGTGTAGGCTCTGCTGCGTGCCTCCACCGCAAGAAACAGTACCTAGAGAGTGATCCTGCCCTTGAAGATGCAGACCTGGATCGTCTCCTGATACCTCTACCATAGAACAAACAACAATAAATGCATATCTGCTTCACAAATTCAAGGGTGGCGGAAAAAATGCATAATGCATCAAAAATCAATGGCGTAATAACTAGAAGCATAGATTTCCGTTTCAGGGAAGATAATTTCCCTCTACATTAATCAATTTAGATATCTAGATAAATTGATGTTTAAGCCTCGGTTTAAGCCGAATTTTATTTTCTTCAGTTTTGAACATGCGGACTTTTTTCATAGGTGAAAAGTATAGAATAAATGTTTGACAAAAAAGTGAAGAAACATTGTTTTTTTCCAAAATTGCCACCTTGTTTGACCTAAAAAGCCATATATAGAGCATAGAAGTTGAGAATGTTAACGTTATTTATTATAATCGGTAAGTTCTTCTCCTTTATGACATCTCCCCAGTCCCCTCATCTCCTAGACACCAGGAATTTTAACTTCAATAAGATCCCTACCGACGCAACCTTCAATTCCTTTATTGCATGAAGGAACTACGAATGAAATGCCCAATTTCTCTTAAGGAATTTTCTTTCAAAGCGAGTTTTCTCGACGGCGGACCGAATTTACCTGGGACGAGTTTTCTAAGGGGAAGATAATTTGCGATGCGAATATTCCACATGCAGAATTTCTTCCAGGAGAAAAACCTCAAATTCCGACAGTTTTCGGTCAACATCTCGAGAGATCAATAATCCGGGAAGAATCTCTTCAGCTACGCATTTTTACAGTAACAAATATAGTATGAGGACTTGTGGCACGTTTCACGAAGAAATGTTTGACAATTAATGTGTAAGACAAATTCTCGAATTTCTTATGGTTTGCTCTCCTTTCCTTGAAAACATAGAGCATTTGATGTTGAACTACCCCCTTCCATGTATAATTAGACCAAATGAAAAATAAACCAAATAATTCATGTTTTCATCTCCCATGTGTAAATAGTATTGTCCTTGTCCATAGCCTTCCAAAACCAACCTATGCCTATGCGTAAAGGAAAACTATTGCTAGACAAATGTCACGTCGGAATAAATAATTGGTGAATCCAAACCGGCGAAAGGCAAACATGTCGCAGCCTTTTAATTAAGGAAATGTAATCGCCTAAATGATGTTGTAAATGAGGAAACGTTTTATTTATAGTTTGCTTCCTTTCGGTTGTATAAGCACAAAAATAGGACAATTCGTAGATACCTTTACAATTTGATCAACTACTCCAAACTTCAGAGAGATTTGCACAACGATAACCTACATTATAAAATTTCGTTATTATTTATTACGCGATAGTACCAATTCTGTTTCTAGTATTTTACACATTTTCGCTTTTTTCAGCAGCCCAATTGACGCGATTGGAATTGTTACAAGCGTAAGTACTTGGGAATTT